AACAAAATATGCATCAAAGAATCGCGTTCTCAATCTCAGCAAACCAGCCTCATGATGTGCCAAAGATCAAAGTAAAAAACAACACGCCATCCAATCATGGGAAAACAAGGCAGAGCAAAGAAACCAAGCAATAAATCAAAAGATAAAGAAGCAAGCCACCTGAAAAATTTCAGCAAGGCTCTTTTGTTTGCTACCAAGACCTAGGCCAGGCAAACCAATTAGTCCATCACCACCCCACTCAGCAGAAACTCCCAACTTTTCGTTATATACCTCACTTTCCTGTTTCCTCGTGTTAAAACCAGGAGGGGTCGCATACATCGATCTGCCACCATTGTCATCAGCCCTGTTCACTTTTCTCCTATCTCCAATTCCACCAAGAACTGAAGCTCCACCTTTTAGTCTCTGCGTAAACCTCCAATCCTCCTTCGAGAGCAAAGGAGGCGGAAGCCGAGGATTCAAATTCACATTGTTGTAATAGTATGAAAGATAAGCCGGATCAGACCTAAGCTCTTCCTCAGAAGCAAAACCATTCCCATTTTTCGCCCCGGAAAACTCCGAAAATGCAGCGGCAGCAGCAGCACCGCCACCGCCGCCACCTCCAAACAACCCTCCAACTGCACTTAGAGAACCCTCCACAGTTGGAGGAGCTGATCCACTCCTATACAAATTGAGCTCGCGTTCACGATCATCCACCTCCTGTCTTCGTTGCTCGCGAAGCAACATCCCTATCTCCTTTTCCAATTCATCTCCAAAGGAACCCTCGTTACCACCAAGCATCGGTCTTCTTCCCAATTCAGACAACATTTTCAAAAACTCAATTTGATCATCGGAGTTTCACCACCCACAACCTGATCACTACCCTCAACCATAAACCAAACCCTAAGCCGCTAAAAAACTCAAAAACCCAATCTTTTCCCGTCAAAACGCCCAAGCCCCATATTTACAACTTCAAAAGTGCTCACTTGCAACTGCTGCGAACAAAAATCGGAATTAAAAAAATAATAAGAGCAACAATAACTTATCGCCATGAAAACTACACCCAGTTCATTCGTGCAGCTGAAACAAACACTAACTGAAGAATCAGTCAGATTAGGAAATTTAAATTAAGCTTGGGCGAGTTGGTTTCCATGATTATTGAAGATAAATTACTGATAAGAATCTAGAAGCGAAATTGACGTGAGTTGGGCGTGGGAAAGAAGAGAAAGAGAAGAAGGAGAAGAAGGGCGCAGCAAAGTGAAGAAGGAAAGAATGAGAGTGTGGCGATGTTAGAGATGAATCCGGCGGCGATTGGTTCTTAGAAGAACCCTTAGGGTTTTGTTTGTTCTATTTCGAGGAGGATTATATACAATGATGATAGCAAAGGGAACCCAAATTTTTTTTACTTTTTTTATTTTTTTCTTTTTCAATTTCCAAAAGTTAGCATTATTTCAGAGAAATATCTAAAATACTAAATTTATTTCCTAAAAATTAGGGGAAATTGACCAAGTGATAACCGACTGATGTAGGGGTATTGCCATGGCCGAGAGAGAGAGATTTGGTGGTAATCTAAATGAAGAATCTGTTCCTAACTGACACGTAGTGTTAATAGATTCGCTGGATCAATAAAAATACCCCATTTTTTAGTAAATTCATTTTCCCAACTGCCCCTCCCCTCTTTCCTATTCCTCCTCCTCTTCTCTGCTTCTCTGCTTCATTTTAGTATCAAAATATAACATCTTTTTACTGTTCTTCTAACAAATTTTTTAATTCTCCATTTTGTTCATCTCAGTTAATAATAATCAAATTTTAGTCATCAATCAAATATTAATTTTTTAATATTTTTTAAGTATTCAATATTTTTTTTATACAATAGATTATAAATATCATAGGGAATGTGATATAACACCACACTGTTAACTCATGTTGTGTGTTCTTCATCCAAGTTCCAACACCCAAGCAATGGGGTAGAGCTACCTTTTACTTTTTATATACTTTAATACCACTGAAGAATAGTATCTTTTCTATCTCAAAATGATATACGAGTACCAAGTGTGAGAAAAAGCTTATAATATAAATTAATCTTGGATCTCACATGATATTTTGTGTCTCTCAGAGTGAAATATTATCTGGATCATATTTATAATTGTTTATTTTAAAATATATAAATTTGTTTTATCTTTATTTATTATATAGAATTTGTATGAATAAAAACACTTGTGTATTTTATCAATGTAAGTAAACACGTTTTTCAATTGTTCCTAAAATGAATGCTAGGTAGGAAATTTATTGGCTTCCAAGTTGCAAGGATCTAACTCCTCATGAATTTAACTGCATTTTAATTACCTTTACTCGCCTTGTTAAATGCCCATAAATGGTGTGTCACCCATCTAGAAAAACAGTCATCAATTGAAGGCATCATAACATTATCAACAACAGAATGTGGCAGTTAAAACATATGTGTATACGTTTAGTTCACATCAATTTCATACCAAACCAGGGGTTATCTTTTATGGGTCTTGCTATGTTAAAAAAATCAATAAATAGTTATAATTTTATAAAACTTATAAGAGTCAATGTCTTTTGTCAAGTTTTTTGAATTTTTTTGTAATGCTTTATGAGTTATCTCACACCTTCAAAATCATCTCAATTCTTTGTCTTGTGAGACCATCATAAAAAACATTCTGGATCTTTAAAAAAAATGGGTATATATCACATTTGCATTCAATGTATGTTTAATGTGTGTGAATAGTGACAATTTATATTTACTTCAACCTATTGATTATAATTTTAACACTGAATTTATATTTATAAAATTTTTTAACTTATTTCCAAACACAATGTATGTTAAAATTGCATTGCCGATAACTATAAATTAAAGTTAGAAAGAGCAACATCTGGGATATTAAAGTATTGGTATTTATTGTTTTTCGTTCTGACGTGGACCACTCCCACGACGCTGTTCATGGTTTGGGCCTGTAAATCCATTTCAAATTCGATCCATTACGAAATTTGGGCTTTGAACAGCTAAAATCGAGTTAGCAACTGTCCAAGTTGCACGGTTAAATTGGAACGTGGATGTGATTAATTACTTGAAAAATGCTCATTATTAATTTAGTTAAACTGCAGTATTAGTAAATTTTGTTTGAAACATTCAACACCAAAAAGTTATTAGTTATTGTTTCTGGTTCTAGTTATGATTCTTTTATTGGTCTGATAGAACGAGACTCGTTCATTTTAAATGAATCAAATAAAAAGCATAATGAATTTCTATTGATGTGTTTGAGTCAATTTAATTATGACAAATGAAATAATAACTTGCTTCTTATAAATTTTATTGACAGTTTCAATAATCTTTAGATTAAACTAATGATTTAAATCCTTTAGAGACTAACATAGTATTCATTTATTATTTAAATTCTCCAAACATTGAAAAACACAAAAATAGTCCTTAATTCAATTTATAATAAATCATCTTAATGTCATTTGAATAATTTATTCAGTATCGTAAACTTGAAAACAATTCAATCAACGTCAAATGAATTTTAGAGATGCTAAATAATGATTTCAAATCCACATTAATCAACATAAAATTCTATTTAATGCCATCGCTATTGAAAATTTATAGATGACTAATAAATAACAAATTTTATAAATTCATATATTCACCCATATTAAATATAAATTTTATTAAAATTACAATATTAATAATATCATTAAACTGCGTTTAATATTATAATTTTTTATTCTGTAAATCAAAATGAAAATAGATGGCCGAATCATTAATTTTGTCAAATATAAAATATTTAAAAAATGATAAATATCTTAGATTTTATGAAATTTACTACAAGGTGCAAAAGAAAACATAAAATTTATTATTTAATTATTAATTGTGACAAAGACTGTCAATTGTTATAGTATTTATTTTAAAATTAAATTAAATTTATCAACAATGTGAAGATCTTTACAAATAAGACAGTAAAATAAAACTCAAATCCATTCTTATAATAACTTTCTTTTCACCAGAGAACATTTGTGGGGTGTTGGTAATGGATACACAGAATAGATAATCTGAAATTACAGCTAGAAATATTAATGAACGTATGATTCTAAAATTCTTAGTGTTAATCGTCTTCATAAGCATATATAATAAAACCTGAAAGTCACTGTAACAATGAAAATAGTGAATTGGGAATCAAAGAAGGTGGCTGCTTATCACAAACCGCGGGTATATAATAGAGTTTTAATTATGTATATGAAAATGCATTATCATAACTGCGCAAGTGGGCAATGATCTAGAATCAAACCTATGTTGACCCAGTCGATGGAATACTCAACACGTGTATGTTAATTCTGGAAATGAATAAGATTCTCGTACTGGTTCAGATCAATAATCAAACACAAGGATATCATTTTAGTGACTGTTAGGAGCACAAAACACTGTTAACCTAAAGAAAGAAAGCGCCTCCATTGATGCCACATTTGTTCTATTCGAAAATGACAATGCAAAATTTAATAATTGTTGATGTTAAATTAAAGTTTTAATTCTCATTTACACTTTAAATTTTATGAATAGAAGAAAATTAATTTGTGAATTTATAACAGGAGATAAAAAAGGTGTAAATATGAATTGGATTGGAGTTGTTGAAGAGAAAGGCCAGTTGTGTATGAATGGAGTTTCACAGTGGGTGCGCTGCGCTGTCTCGTTTAAGGTAATGAACTGATAATGTGACTTTCTTGGAATCCAGTGAATTAAAAGAATAAAAATCAAAATCAAAATCAAAATCGGCGTCTCTTGTATTGTATTGTATTATTATGGCAGTGGCTTCCTTGGCTTGGGGTTCTCACGATCAATTAATAATTAAATAAATTTCCTAATTAAGAACCTCTAATCCAATCCACATCCCTATTAATTAATATTAAAGTGAAATTAGCAATATCCAATCCTATCCCTCTCTGTAGCTGACGCGTTCCGCTTTTCAAACTCCATAAATCAACGCTCTCTTCATCGGCTCTTTAGTTATTGGGAGTTACTACTCAAATTTCATTCCCTCTTTGTAAACCAAAATGAGCTCCGAGACCCCACGCGCTACGCCGTCGTATTGGTGCTATAGCTGCACCCGCTTTGTTCACCTCCTCGACCAAGACGACGTCCTCTGCCCCCACTGCCAAAGTGGCTTCGTCGAAGAGATCCACGCTGGTCAATCGCCCGCTCTCTCCCTCTTCGCTGATGGCTTTCACACTTCCCGGAGACACGGCTTCCGCCGGAGACGCCGCAACGCCGGCACCCGCTCGCCGTTTAACCCCGTCATCGTTCTCCGTGGACCGGGCGAGGACGAGGGGACCAGCTTCGAGTTATTCTACGACGACGGCGACGGCACCGGTCTCCGACCGCTGCCGCCAACTATGTCAGAGTTTTTGCTCGGATCCGGCTTCGATCGGTTGTTGGAGCAGTTTTCTCAGATCGAGATCAACGGGTTCGGGAGGGCGGAGAATCCGCCGGCGTCGAAGTCTGCGATAGAGTCAATGCCGACGATCGAGATCGCGGAGGCGCAGGTGGAGACGGAGACGCACTGCGCCGTTTGCAAAGAAGCCTTCGAGCTAGGTTCGGAGGCGCGCAAGATGCCTTGCAACCACCTTTACCATTCCGATTGCATTCTCCCATGGCTTTCGATGCGAAATTCGTGCCCTGTGTGCCGCCACGAGTTGCCGTCCGATCAAAACCCGGTGGAATCCAGAGTCGCTGGTCAGATCGAGGAAGAAGCCGTAGGGCTGACCATATGGAGGTTACCGGGCGGCGGATTCGCTGTCGGGCGGTTTGCCGGCGGGCGAAGAGCCAGCGATAGTCAGTTGCCGGTTGTGTACACGGAGATGGATGGTGGTAGCAATTCGAACGAAGGTTCGAGAAGAATCTCGCTGGCAGTGGGGAGCGGCAGAGTTAGGGAGAGCGGTGGATTTGGTAGAATTTTCCGCAATTTCTTTTCCTTCTTTGGGAGAATTGGGTCCCTTAATAGAACCCGAAGCCGAAGCTCTTCGTCTTCGTTGTTCAGTAGAAGAAGAAGCAGAACCTGGGTCTTGGAAGGTTGATTTGGTTGGAGTTATTTTTGGAAAGCAAGGTTTCAGTTTCAGTTGAGAATTCTTACTGTAAATATGATAGAACTGAAGTGGGTATTATAGTTAGATGGAGGAAGTTTAGTTTACCCTACGTGTCCCAGTTTCTGCGATTTGCATCGCCATATCAATACATCACCAAAGGGAACTCCCGAGAAACTCTGTTCCTGCTTCTCAGAGCATCCATTTGGGGAAGAAGCCCTGCTTATTTTTCTTTCTCGTGTTGTTAATTACTTGATTTGTTTAATGTTTATATGTTTTAGTCACATATTCTTTGTAAGAATTCTTTTTAAATTTATGTCTGATGTTGTCCCAATTTAGAGAAGAGAAGATATTGGGTGTGGGATGCAAATCGCGTGAACAAGAGCAGAATCATTGTTGTTAATCATTATTGTTGTTGCAGTAGTCCTTGGGGTCTGAATTATTCCAAATTCAGCAGAACAGAGAAGGAATACAAAATCTGTGTCCTTGTAAGAGGCATTCATTTTATTCTTGGGAGGGGAGTTTTGGGTGGGGTGGAGATGGTGTTTGATGGGATTATGGTCATTTTTGGCTTGATGATGATGATGACACCACGAATTCCCATGCGTTTCAAGAATTCCTTTCTCGTTCACTTTTATTGTTTCACTCCTTAATCATGGACCTAGTTGCCAAAAGATAAAGGTTATTTTTTTCCCCTCTTGCCTTAACTTTACTCATTTGGCTCTGACATGTATGGCTAGCTATGGTGTTAACTCCTTGGCACTTGCATGCCCTTTTGATCTGTTCAATTGTAGTCATAACCGCTTCCTCTACTGTGGACATTGTTTGAACTTTTCCAAAAGGACTCGGTTAAACATTTTTCACCGATGGCTCTCCATGGATTGAGTCTGACAACTGTCTCGCACTTCAACTTGAGTAGTCAATTCTGAATTTTGGCACGCTTGGTTCAGCCCTACAGCCAGCCAACTAAAGTTGAACCTTTCTCTACCACTATACTTTCCCGTATTTTTTAATCTTTTTTCTCAAACTGTTTTTTTGGCCTCTCTTTCATAATTAGAAAGAGAACATAAGTTACTACATGATGGAATATCCAATCAAACCTTCAACTCTTTCAACATTATCATCACGCCTGAATTTTAAATGTTGGAGAGATGTCAGTTGACTTCTGAAACCCATTTATAATGTGAATTAGAAGATCGCATATTGAATTGAATGTAACGAAAAAAAGATGCAATGTGGACAGATTGGCAAGGAATAGGGTGTCAGCTTCCGCGTTGGACAAAGTCAACGCTGATGGGGCTGCCAAGAGGAATCCTGAAATGACTTGGTTGTGGCGAAATCCTAGGTGGTAATAATGGGTGGGGAATAAGAAAAACGCATAGGGGGCATCGGAAATTTTGACTAGGTGTTTGACAAGGACCTCGCATGGTTAGGAGAAATTAGCTCTATCTTCCACTATATTCCAAGGCGTGGACGAACAACTTCTGGTGTGGAATTCAAGCTTACTTGTACAAATGGGAAAGATAGGTGTGCTGAGGGCCTTAATTGGACCAGTTGGGCCACGATTAATTTGATATCAAATCCAATCTGATTTCGTTTTTTTTGGGTAAATAATCCAATCTGATCTTTTGGTGAAACAAATTTTGAATTCCAAGCTGACTGGTCGTTGACCTCCATCCCCCTCCCCTCGCAAAAAAAACTGACTGGTATGCGTCTGTAGTTTAACTGGCTCAATCCAATGTGTTGAGAAAATATGAAAGTTTAGGCGTAATGCATAATTAAGTTGTTGAATTTTCAAATAAAAATGTTACGAAGTAACCCATGTAACGAAAGACATTATTTTTTATTGATAAAATTTTAAATATATTAGTCTTTCAAATAATAAAAATGAAAGCCTACCCATGTAAAACAAATTACAGAATACACGAGTTAAAATAAACACCCAACTAGATTGTCCCATGAGTTGGAATCCAGCACAATAACCCTGTAATAGTATAGTGATAATAATGACGATGAAAAAAAACACCGAGTGAATGAATAATCGAACGCACCTATCTTTTTTCCACATGAAGTGCATATTTGATTAATATTAAAAAGGACAAACTTAAATACAATATTATAATTTTTTATACTATTAATTAAAATTAGAGTAAAATTAATATTGATATTTTAAAATATCAAGCTCACTGTTGAAGTAAAATTTAAATTTAAATTGAAGAATAATACTAAAAATATTTTAAAATGTATTTAAGTCTTATTTTATTAAACATAGAAGCTCCTTGTGTTTGATCCTCGCACTGTCTAACACGCTCTAAGTTGAAGTCCAAAAAGATAAAGATACCTTTTTGCTTCAACCTTAGGTGGGTTTATAGGTACACTAATAATAAGGAATTTAATGGGAATTGCGGCCAACTGAATGCCAGTTAGGCGGATATTTGTTGACTGATTCAGCTTGAAAAATCGTTGGAATGAGATTTTTGTTGCTGCATAGCGACAATTAATGAGTGTGTTTAGTAAGGTTAAAAACACTGTTTTAATTTTTTTTGTTTTGGATTTTGTAATATGGTGAATGATGAATGATAAGTATGTGTTTTGAAGTCTCAAAACATAGCTTGAATTAATAAAATATTATTTTGCATAAGTATTAAGAAAATGTTTCCGAAGCCTTTGAAGTGTGTAATTTAAAGATTTAGAACCTTGTTAATTAACAAAAAGATAATAATCAATTAGGAATTTAAAAAGTTAAAACTTAAATTTTAAAGGGTATTTAATCGATTAGGAAGAAGTTGCTAAATTAAGTGATATCGATGTTTATAAACTTATAACATTGCACTCTTTACACTGTTATATTGGAAAAGTTTCGCTAATTAATACAAATTTATTTGAAAAGTTCTAAATATTTACAAGATAAAGGATAATTGAAATTAGGCTTCTATATATACAATCATTCTCTTAATTCGTTTAGTACTTTTTTTTTATTTGAAAATCCTATCAACATTGACTCTCCCCCGGACCCACCCAGCTGAAGCTGAGAAGTTGCAGATTTTGACGTGCTTGGTGTCTCTTGTTTTCTCTATAAAAGTGGAATTAATCTTCTCCATTTTGATCAACATGTATTTGTCTCTTACTTATTTAGATAATTAAAAAACCGCAATGAAAGGGTATGGGGGATTAATATATATATATATATTTGAGGGGTGGGGACAAATTTGAGACGTAAATATGTTGCAGCAATATATATATATATATATATGTTCGAGTTGTCAACTTTGCAATATTATATATTGGCTAGGTAGATATAATAATTTCAAGAAAATTTTGTTAATTAAATTTTGATTTGCATGCTGACGCCGATCGCTGTGTAGTACAAAACTACAAATGCTGCAATACGTGATCTTTAAAAGTCAAAAATGTAGTACAAGTGTAATACAAACTATAATGTATGGATTATTGTACTAAATCATATTTGTTACCATATAAATACAATACTACCGAGTAATTATCACTATTAAAGCAACATATTCAGATGATTATATAAGAGTAGATATCAATATTGACAGGGGAGAATAGAATAGATATCAACATGGCTTCATCCGTTGCTTCTACCAAAACCAAGATCCTCAAGTCAACGTTCCTCGTTGGGTGCCTCTTAGCCTCATTCCTCTATCCAATCAAGGCTCATGGAGGAGACAATGGTTCGGACGATGAATCTAACAACGTAGATTTGCATGCCAAGGGTCTAATCTTGGTAAAAATATGGTGTTTGATCATCATGTTGGTGAGTACTTTCTTGGGAGGGGTATCTCCCTATTTCTACCGTTGGAACGAGGCCTTTCTCCTAATGGGGACTCAATTCGCTGGTGGGGTTTTCCTTGGAACCTCTTTGATGCATTTCTTGAGTGATTCAACTGAGACCTTTGGAGAACTCACCACAAAAACTTATCCTTTCTCCTTCATGTTGGCTTCATTCGGGTACCTTCTCACCATGTTTGGTGACTGCGTAGTGATTTTTGTCACAAGTAATAGTGAGAAGAAAGCCAAAGTGGTGGAAAATGAAGGAGGGACAACACCCCAAGATCAAGAACATGCTGCTCATTTGGCAATGGCTGCAGTCAACCCTGCATTTGTCAAGACTTCTTCTTTGGGAGACTCCATTCTACTCATCCTTGCACTGTGTTTCCATTCGGTTTTTGAGGGCATTGCCGTTGGAGTTTCAGGTTTTTTCTTTTTCTTTCCCTAAGAATTAAAACAAAACATCATATTTTCATGCCCTTGATTGCCTAGCCAATTATAACATCTCGTTCATTTATTTAGAATTCCAATTCTATGTCCTTTATTATGATTGTGATAGATCATGGAGGTGTTTGAAAATCGTTTTTAAATATAAAAAACTAATTTATAACTTTTTTGAACTAACCCTAAATAAGTTTAATTTCCAGTAAATTTCATAATCTAACTTACGAATGAATTCTCACTTGATAATAGTGTAGTGAATAAGTGTTTAACTGTTTATGCTAATACATCTTATATTTAGGATACAAACCAAAAATAACTAAACTTGTTTACAATTATACATAATTAAGGTACTAAGGCAGAAGCATGGAGGAACTTATGGACAATATCATTGCACAAGATATTTGCTGCGGCCGCAATGGGAATTGCTTTGCTTAGGATGTTACCTAAGAGACCCTTCGTAACAACTGCAGCATATTCTTTGGCCTTTGCTGTTTCAAGCCCCATTGGAGTGGGGATTGGCATTGCCATAGACGCCACCACACAAGGACATACCGCAGATTGGATGTATGCTATATCTATGGGTATTGCTTGTGGGGTTTTCGTTTATGTTTCCATCAATCATTTGATATCCAAAGGCTTCAAACCGCAGAGTGCGACCCGTTTTGACTCTCCCTGGTTCAAGTTTCTCGCTGTGCTTTTTGGTGTAGCTGTTATAGCGGTTGTCATGATCTGGGATTGATGCTGATCATGTTTCAATTCCTGTCTTTCTTTGTTCATTGACTAATATTGTTATACTAAAATGTGTCTGTGACAATTATGATGAATGCATCGTTATATGTTTGCCAAATTAACGTTCATTTAATGTTTGCAAAGTCGGAGTGAAAAATTATAATCTTTGTTCCTTCTACTATGTGAAATATAATATTGTTCGTGTTTCATTTCCTTCAACCATCCAATTAATGGATAATTAAGTGATAGGGAATGCCGTGTTATGAACCTCTACGCTGAGGTGACACATTTAGTTGCAAGAGAATGATAATGTGGAGTATGGTGGTGGTCTTAGAGAGAGAATAAAAGGTAAGGAAGGTGTGAGAATTGAGGGTGAAGAATTAAATGGAACTAAGATTGTTCTCTGTATATCTCTCTATTCCTCTTCTATCGTACTTAGATTTTTCTCTGTATATCTCTCTCTTCCTCTTCTATCGTATGTTACTCCTTCCTTGAAATCATTTTTAGTGTTCATTGTTAGTCACCATTTTACTGAGCTAATTTCTCTTATTTGATTAATAGAAGTATTGTTATATATCATTAGTGGTTATTGCTAACCATTACATGCCGATGAATCAAATCTTTCTTTTGATCTTTTTTGGGCAGATGTGAATATGAGAATTAGCTTTCGATATGTGAATTAAGATAAGGTGCTTTCTTCAAATGGATATAGGCACAGTATTTTCTTCAAATGGATATAGCAGAACTGTATCTTATTAATTCCCTTTCTTTCTAAATAAATTTGAAGTTTTAATTTTTTTTCTTGAGAACATAACTCCAATAAAATAGGTTAGTATGAAAAAATCAGGTGAAAATTAATTAAGTAAATGCTTGGTACTACTCTGTCAAGGAACTAAAATGTTTTTCTTAAAGGAATGTGTTTAAAAGATGTATGTTCCAAAAAAAAAAAAAAAACAATTAATGTGTTACAATTTTCTTGATTTGTGCCTTTATCAATTACAAGATTTTATTTTATAAAAAAATTTGAATAAATAATTTGATTTTTTTTTCTTCAAAAACTTGTATATTTATGGGATCTATGAGTTTTTGGAATCATCATGTATTAACATTTTGTTAGATTAAAGTGAACTGATAATTGTGTTGGCTTATAGTACAATATCCATTATTATTATTATTATTATAAATCTGAATATCATGGTTTCTTTTTACTCTTAAAACTCTAATTGTATACTTTCTCATTAAGGACTACTCAATTAGTTGTAGAGAAATTATAAATATGTATGCTTTTTTTAAGTCAAGTATACTATGCTTTTTACGAATACAAGTATGTAATGCTTTCATAAATCAACTAGACTTCAGTTCTTCTTCTTCTTAGTTCTTTCCCCTTAATTTTTATTTTTTCACTATGTTTTACGGAATTTTTAGGCTAAAAAATGGAGATTTTCAATCCCAACATGATATAATGAAATTCTTTCAATCTTAGTTTATAGTTCTTGTCTTCTTGATGTGTAATTTAATTGTTTTTTCTTAATTAAAAAAACTTAAAATTATTCTCTTCATTGAAAAATCAACGAAAGATTTGGATTTAAAATGAAATAACATAATAATGGATATATTGCTACGAACAAGAGTTAATTACTATGTAATTATTCAATTTCTGAACTTAATGTATGCACATGTCAATCAAAATCATAGAATTATAAGAAAAAAAAAGACATTAAAAGAATTAAGATTTTCTTAAAGATGAAGTTAAATTGCTAAAGAATTGGAATTCAATAAAACTTTCAAATTTGGTCATGAATGAACATGAATGAAGAATGGGATTAGTTGAATGTAAGAGGGATTGAGAAGAATCGGTCCTTAATTGTTCTTCAATAGTAAAAAAGAAATTTCATTTTCTATACTTACTCTATCTTGTGTGAATTTTTTTCATTATATACCATAGTTTTAGAGTTTTAATTAGTTCAATGTTAGTCCATACTATTTCGGTTGCATAGCTCAAAGAACAACCAGATTTACGAATGTTAGAATTACAATATTTAATAATGATATTCACTCATCCCTATATTATTTGTTGTGATTCGATGTAATTAACAAAAAAATATCATGTTAAATAGGTGATTTTTTTCGGATCATAAGTATATATCCTCCATGAAAAAAAAATTGATGTTAAAAAATTTGTTGTGCATTCAATTTAAAAATTATTATATGAATATCTATAAATTGTAATACATGATTTTTAAAATAAAAATATTTTGTAGTAAAAATGCTTCTGAACTTCTCCACTTAATTTCTTTCTTCCTTCATCCTATAAAATTAATTATAAGTATGTGAAGAGCCATGTTATCAATTTATAAACATGTTACCCTTTTTTCCCTCAATTATGTTATACTTTTCATGTAGTTCATGTAAACTTGTATTTTAAAATAAAAATATGAAAATAATAATTATATACTAAAAACTAACGTTGTGTATAGAAGTCTTGGCTCACACCACCAACTCACATGAGTTTGGATTACGGACGTGAAGTCTTTATTTATTTAATTGCCAGTCTAAAAAAGAGAAGACATTTAGGCCACACAACAAACAATTTACTCCAACCTACAAATAAAGTATTGAGAAAAAAGAACAAGAAAAAGTAGTCATTAAATCTGGTTAGTTTAGGGTTTAGGGTTTAGGGTTTATTTTGTAAATTTATTTTATTTTTGAAAATTGTATTGTGAAAAAAATATAAATTATAAATTATAAATTATTTTCTATAATTACAACAGTATTTTCAATATTTATTTTTTTATTAGTATAAGGTATGTTAAATAAAAGCTAACATAAAAATGTTAAAAACTAAAAAATAGTAAATTAAATGATTTAATTACAAAAATTTGACAGAAATAGTTTTTAAACTAGCAAACAATGGTAAAATGACGTAAAAGAAGAAATTTCATTATTTGATCATAACTTAAAATTTGATAAGCAAATATAGTTTCAAATAATTAGCACTTTTTAATATTTGATATCAAACAATTCATCATCTTCAAAGTTAATAGTAAAATTTATCTTTTTATTTATATATTTTTTTAAATAAAATGAGATATATAAATAATTTTTTATCATAATTTAATGACTCTATATTATAAAAAAAATATTTGATGAAAATTGAGAAATTGAGAGAAATAGAAAAAATGTTAAGGATTTCTAAATATAAAAAGGGTAAAGGGGGAATTATAATAAAATAATGAGAATAAAAAAACTTAGATGCTTAGTAATTTAACTATTATAAAATAATAAAATAAATTCCTTTAAAAAATTATTTTGATTAAATAATTTTTCATATTAGTTAATAGATTTACAATCCATCCACACTTAACGTTAAATTTGGACATTCAAACCTTTAACTTGAAAAGTTTACCTTGTTTAATCCAAGATTCACCGTGGAACGGATCATAGAAAATTTTCACGTTAAAATGATTTGGTGGTTTCTCTTTGTGATTGACTTCTTCCGTTTTGGTTGAATCTTCCAATTGACATTATGAGCCTAAAGGATGAAATAGTATTAGTTAAGATGAGTGGGGACAGATTAGAAAAAGAAATATTCCACCTTTATAATCATTCTGCCATCAATTTCACATATCGATGGCACCTAAGCTCCGAGTTCCAATTTTCTGTTCATTGGAGGTAAACAACAATCTGGGTTGGGGAAAAGAAGAAGAAATGTTGCTAATTAACATTATTTTCAATGCAGATCCAAATACTATTGTACAATGGTAAATTGAAGCAGTTAAGGAGAATAAATATGCTCCTTAAAAAAGTATACCCTTTCCTTCAGAACACACACAAACACAGAGAGAGGATTTAACACTTTTTGAGGAACGCTAATCAGGATTTTCATGTTAAATAATTAATTATCCCAAACAATAGGTGTAAGATAAAATCAAGGAGTACTTTGTCAACAAGGGGAACGTTAATCTGGAGTCTAGTTGATGTACATATTTCCAGCAATGTGTAAAATCATATATAACTCACCTTAGTTAACTAGTAATTAATTAATTACAATCAAATCTATAATATTCAAAGGGGTAAAAAGATCCTAGTGGATCAGAAATCAAAACTTTGTCCTAAGTTGCAACAAAACCCACAGAAACTGAACAAAAGATGTTCATGTGCAGTAGGACTTGTTCTGCTTTTCAAGAATCTCCATGCTTGTGCCAGCAAACTAACATGGCTACACACCGCCTCATGATGTAAAATCTTGCTTTCTGTTCCTTGGCTAAATTGGTGCATTTGCGACCGATGGAGGGGTTCTTCTGTGAAAAGCTCCTTGGAAGATTGTTACTACTATTGCATTTGGATGAAGAGGAACTCTTTTGTGACAAGCTTCTAAGGAGAGGAGAGTTTGAAGTAGAGCTTCTTGTTGAGCAACTCCTTGAGAATAATGACTTGGTGGAAGAAGAAGAGGAAGAGGGGTAGCTGCTTGAGCCTGTGTCCTTCTTTGATGCCTTCTTCTTTTCATCCATCACAAAAACTGTGCCTTATCCTTCTTTATGTGTATGAAGAGGAAAGGTGATTGTGATAAGAGAGAAGGAGGACAGTGAGACTGTGTAGGTATATGTAGGGGTTCAAAGAGATCATCAGTGCTTGCTAGTAGATTCTGGTCAGCACTGGGTTTATATAGCCTTGTACATATCCACTTATTGGTGCTCATACATACAAATAAATATAAAATCTACATATACATATACTTGTACATTTACATATAAATATAAGTATATATATATATATATATATATAGATGACATGTTCAATAGTAAACAGTACGAGAGCATTTGAAGCAACTTTATTTTAATTTACACTTTCTGACCCATTTTTCACTGTGGTGGGGCTGATAAATGAAACCCTGTCCATTGAATTGCCTCGGATATGCTATGATTCTTTTTGGAGACACACATCTTGTACGGTTCCAAAATGGGCAGTCACTTATTAAAATCGTCCCCTGTAGACAAAATGTTAGCTGGTTCTCATGTGGTGGTTTGTGCACCTTGTGCCTGTTACTCCACCAATTTTGTTTCACTAATTTTTATTTTGATTCTTTGATAATTCCCATTGATTTCATGTGTTCAAAGAAATAGTTGTTTGTGAGCATCCTAAGTTTTGCCCATGGAGCCTTCCATTTGTGTTCAATGGTTGAGGTTTAGAGTGACTTCACACCACAACGCTAGTGCCTAATTTGCAGTTAAGATGCTCTTCCTTCAGTTGAAAAAAATGTGCACATGGATGACAGTGCTTTGCATCTCCTTGGTAGTAAAAAAATGTGCTTAAATTATTAGTCTTAATAATGATAGTGACCAGTGTTCTTGATTCACATCTTATTCGTATGAACGTGACTGTTGTTTGTCAATTGTCACTGACGAAATTTAATTTTGAATTTTACACTTTCTTTCTTCTCTCTTTATCAAAGTTTTAAAACAACATATGTGAGAAAGGAGGGGATAATTAATTGGCAAGTGGCTGATATGGTCAATCATATGATCACCGCAATAATATAGCACCTTACTTCTGCCTCATGTCCAATGATTCGGTGCTAAAGCATCTTTCTCTCTCTTTTACTGATCTAGATAAACGTATAATATTTATAATATAAGTTTCTATTTTTTCTACTGCTTATTAAGGAAAATGTATCACCTATAAAACCTACAAGTCGGTCATAATGAACATCACAGCCACTAGTTATATTCTCGGATTTAAATAACACCAGAATTATTGTTCTCTTTACTTATTTATTAGAGGTTTGAATTTCACGGGCACATGGTATTGCAACTACGTAGCTAGAATAGTGAAGCAATGTATAAATTTTTGGATGCTGAAGTTTTGTCTGAATTTAATATTTTCAACAGCTGAACTTATCATGTGAGGGAACTGATTTGTGCTATTCGTTTTTGTATTAATATTATAATGGAATTCGCCGCTCTTAGTACTGCAGGTACACAGCGTCTAGTTAAAATATATCATCTTTTGTTAAATCAACAAGAACAAATTGAAAAGGAAGATAAAATTTCAAAAGAAGGGGTACGAAGTGGCCATCGAAAAGGAATCTAATGATTTGGTAACAAACTTTTGTTTTTGAAGATTGTTTGACCGGTCAAAAAAAACCATTGCAATCACATGCATGTAAGTATCCTTATCATTGGTAAAACAAAGTTAGTGTAAAAAGTACATACAGCATATTTTTGGGTTAGCATATGTAGGACTATTTGAGTCAATCTGAAACGAGTATTTTCCTTCTTTTTAAGGGCTTCACTGCCATATACGTCTGTAAAATTCGAGCCTGTGATGTTTTCTGAGGACTCTGTCGCTCTTGGTACAGCACAAATTCAGCATTTGTTGTCAAATTTTGAGATACCCAGAAATGCAGTCAATTTAATTATTATAAGCTAAGATACATCACCACAATCAAGTTATAAAGCTGTAATTAGTGTGGTCAAAAGATTACGTGGATGGTCAAACATCGTGTCACGTGGGGTGCTGTGGTTGGTGTAAAATACACATCCTCTCATTTATTTTAAATTTGGCATAAATAAACAACTGTTTTCTTCTTCCAAATATGTTCTTAGTCATGACCATTACTATTCAGTACACAAATTTTTAACAATAGAAAAGAAAACTAACCAACGCTTCCTGTTTATTCATATGGGATTTCGTATAAAGAATCGCAACATTTGATTATTTCTCATTAATCATGACTTTAATTTTTTAAATATTGTCATAAAAAAAAATCAGTTCATTAATTATGTAATGCTATGTCAAAATCTTAATCCAGCAACTAATTTGATAGCTATGGAATAGTTAAGTCAATAATAAAAATCATGAAATACAGCAAAAGTGGAAAACAACAACCAATCAATTAACTTGAGATTAATTAAATTCCTCTGGAAACATGAATTTAACAATTTTTAATACAAAGGTTTTCTAATTTTTGATTGAGGTGTTTGGGCTTTCACAATGGTTTTGCTGGCCATGTCGGGCGGGGAGAATATGAACAATGGGGTGTTCCACATGGAGACATGTGAGGTGCATAAGGGATGGTCAAGTGGGGGAGGTAGTAACATATATTAGCTCTAAAATAGATGATATCATATACCCTTTTATTCACTCTCAACACAATCTTCTCCACTCTTCCTACTCAACCATTGCTAGTCTCTTGAAAATTTTGGCACCATAATCATCAGAGAGCAAAGTGAGGTGTCCCACACCATATATATTTTTTTATCTTTTCTTTCTTTGTTGTTCTGTTTATTCGTGGCTGAGTGGCCCAAGACTAATTAAGATAACATGCAGTGTTACGATTCATCGTAACTTACCTCTTAGCAGGCACGCATTAGACTAATATATGCGAGAACTACGTTTGAATTTCGGATATGTTCTTTGACCACTGACCAATGCCAATATGGTAAAACCTCTAAATTTTGCATGTTAATCTCAATTTTTAAAGTTTAGTTTAAGTATCCACAAATAAGAAATATTTATGAAAAAAGTACACAGTTATTATATTAAAATTATAAAAATATAATAAATATTTTTTAATAAAATTTAAATATTATTAGTTGCTTATTCACGTTAACAAAATTCATAATTGTATATTTATTTTAGTGAAACTAAAATATGCACATTTTAAAAATTTTATGCCTTGTTTCATTTTTAAAATATATACTAAATTAAAACAAAATTAGTATATTTTATGTTCCATTCAATTTTAAGGTAAATATCTACCAAAAGAAAATGAATGTTTTTCTCTATCAATGTTTCACACAAATGTTGTGAGAGTCTTTGTCATAGTTACTAAATGAGTAAGCACAAAACATTGCAATTTATGAGTCTGGGCTCTTGCATGTGGTTTGTTTGAGGTCTTGTCAACTTACCATTAACATAGCCACCTCTTCCAACTTATACATAAATATATATCCTCTTCTGAACCCAAATTGAGTTGCATATTTCTCCTCTCATCAATTGATTATTTTTCAGATGAGATGATACCTAAAGCTTATAACTAAACTCTTGAGAATTGAATGCTGTTGCTCCCCAAAAGAGAAAAACAAAAAGAGAAGTGAAAAATAATTAATACAGATTTCCTAAACCTCATTTCATTATGATCGTTCCCTTTCCTTGCTGTGCGACAGATGGACATGCATTTTACACGTGCATGATGCTTTCCTAAATCGGAAAATAGATTCACATTGCTATTGTCTCGGGTTAAGATGACAATATCATGCGTAGTTGAGGTACTACAAGTAGAAATTCTGTTTTATATCTGGACCTTCAATTGTCAATATCCTAAGCTAATTCTCCAACAACATCAGAACTCACAAGCCCCACTTCTCATCCGATTTAATAACAATTTTGAATTTTATATATATACACACACAGAGAGAATTATAGCAGTAAAACAAAATTTAGAGCTAAAGAAAATTAATGTACAATCAAGATTGTGAACTCAACCAAGGAAAAAGGTCGGAAAGTGCTTATTCATTTATTTTTGCATACATTCTACATACACATATGTTTGTTTAATCGTAGATATATCTCAATTCATGAATTTAACTCTTCTAAAATATACGGTAGATACTTTAATTAAATAAAATATAATAAATATTAATTAAAAATTAACAGTTAACATTGCAATAAACTATAGACACATATAATAAATATTAATTAAAATTACTAAAATCTCAGTGATTAATTTTTTAACTTATAGTTATTATTCGACAGTTTATCTTTAAAATGCACCCTGCACTGAGAACAGAAAAATCCTCCAAATATAAGGAGTAATTGGGTGCGTGAGAAAGATATTGTAACCTGTGCATGATTCACTAACGATGTATACATATGACAATATGTAAAATTAAAATTGATTTAGGTCTGTATAAGGACTTAAAGCTTCAAAATTTAAATAATATAAAATCTAAATAGAGTAATATAAATATAAAAGTACATCTACTATCAAATTAAATGTACGAACTCCAGTCAAGTCGCAATATATACACAAACTAGGATCTTGTTTCTAATCCTAATTTAGGGAACTCTTGCTTTGAAAGTTTATAATTCTTAATTAAAAATTTATTCTTTTTTGTTCACTATGTGTATATCTTTCATGTAGAAGCTTTACTACATTTTTGACTGAGAAGTATTAAATTAGCATCATAAAAGTGAAAATAAAACTGAAGTAAATGTTTATAAAAAATTTAGTTTGTTTTGGCCAAAAGCCAATCTAAACCATTTTAACACAAATGATAAGGTAGCTAATGTTGGCGTGTTTAAGTCTTAACATTGAATTAGAGAACAGAGAAGTTGAATAATATATATATATATATAAATAATCAATAAGTACTTATGTAGTTAATATTTCAAAGTTTTATATTGAATGTGTGATTTTCAGTACTTGTGTTGATTCTCACTTGATCCATTGATGAAAATATATCCGGTATTTTAAGATCTGCTCGCATACCCAACATCCAATATTCTT